TTTAAAAATATTAAAAAAACATAATAAGAAAAAAATACTAGAAAAAAAGGATAATTCGAATTAGATCAACTTTTAAAAATGATTCAACTTACCTAAAACATTCAAACTAATACCTTTTTGCCCCCTCAGTTTAGATTGAATTGAGTTGCTTGATTCACATAAAAGATGTCACTGTAATTTCTCTCTCTTTTAAAGGCGTTTTAATTTCCAATAATAATGTGTGTGGACTCTACTTGATATGTACATATTGCAGGTTGTAACCGTACTGTTGTTCCCATAGCGTCTATGCAGCTCATATTATACTTGTCTCATTATTTATATTTTTATCCCCCTTTTTTTATTGCATCTTCTACACCAAAAAATTAATACATATAACTAAAATTATTCTTAAAACTATGAACTTTGAAGCTATTCACTATTTCACGTAGGACGTGGTCGTTTAAGTGAAACACAGATTTCAGCCAATAAGAACGGAGTTTAGTGCGCTGTTTTTTAACCAATAGAAAAATGTTCTTCCAAAACTCAGTATCTTCAACTTATTCTAATACTGTCGCCTTTGAACATTTTCCTTTCTTTCTTTCTTTTTTAACGTTTACTCAGATATTGGATACGTGCCTACTTTCTCATTTTTAATTTCTTGAAACAAAAGTAGAGAGATATATACTCTCCACTTTACCCACTTACTAAATATCTCATGTGAATTCTATTAACATATGTGATATTATACATAGTTATTTTTTCGTATCTTAAAAATATTTTCAAAATTTAAAGGGGGTATAATGAAAATTATTCCACTCCAGTTGTAAAAAAGTGATTCAATATTTTGGAGACTAAAAACAGGCTCAAAACACGCACAAAAATAAATGGCTAGGCACATATAATTTTTCTATACATGTCATAGCATCCCAAATGCTAATTAATTTGAATCGCTAATTATCTTTTTATTACGTCAAAACCATTTATTTTAAATAAAGTCAATCCTCATATATATAACCTAGGATTTAGCTACCCTCTTGAGTGTAATAACGTACTTAACTTTGAAAAAAACTAAGTTAATTAATATCTAATCAAGTTCAAGATTTCGACCTAGTTAAAAAAAATATTTTAAATTGTTTTCCTCTGCTTCCTGGTATGAAAAGTACGTATAATCATACATTCTAATTAGCATTCTAAACGTTTATGAAAAGCCACTCAAATCAAAGACTAAGTACATGTTGTAACAAATTTGAGTTGAATAAATACGAAGTTAAAGTGGAATTCCAGACGAGTGTTAAAGGGGATTCCTATCTGAAGAAACTTTCTAGAAATACGATTTATTAGGGGGTGCTTGTAGGATATATGTAGTCGATCAACTCAACACAAAATTATTCTAAAATTATCAGATCTGAGCGATGATCACACATCGGAGAACAAACCTGTTTAAGACAAAAGCAGATAGTTGGGGGACATTCTAAAGCGAAGACAGAGAGAAAAAGGGAAAGGAGTTAAAGCTCTATCGATGAGATGAGATATGATATGTTACGGTATATTAATTTGATGAGAATGGGACATATCTGTAAAGCCTGAAAGTGTGAAAGTGGCGTTTGAAAGCAGAAACATAGAATTTGAATGAGCTGTGTGGAGGGTATCGATTCTTGGGTTATTAGCATACTGTTCTATACTTGGAGGAATGCATCCTGCTCAACTTGTAAAAGGTGGTATATTTTTATTTATATCTATACACTGCTTGCAAAAAAACATATCCTATTAAAGTCTTGCATTTCTTTACGTGAATCGCACATCATGGCTTTCAACGTTCTTTCAATTGCTGTAGGATGCGATATTATATTTATAGCTAATATAAAGCAAGACAGCCCTATAGCTAATAATTATATATGGAGTTTATTAGAAAAGTACGGCTGAAAATTAACTTTAATTCAACTACGTACTTCTATTGAACAATTTAATTCTCTCTTTCCCTTTGAACTAGATCTCAAAATAGTTGAGAGTCAAACATATATAGTCGGAATCTTTACATGCATAATGTGAGAATATTGATTTTTTTTATTGACATCCTGTGTTAGGTGCTCGAAAAATCCAAGGTTAAAATGAGATTGTTTAATGTGAAACTAATATAGCTTAGTTTGGTAAAAGTCACATTTCCTTTGCCTTCCATTATCAATCTTGATATTGGGATTTGAGATTGACAGACAGGTAGAATACATCACAAGAAAACTTTGCTATATGTGTAAAATTATGAGGAATATGGAATATTTGACAAGAACCAACTCTAACCAAAATTAGATAATTTCACACAAACATATATATGCGGCTTACTTTCTATAGTCTATTGCACAGGCGTAGGCCTTTCGCGTTTTGAAAGGGTTTACAGGTCTCTAAAAGACTACAGCAACAGCAGCAGCTCAAGTTCCAAAAGGTTCTCTGTGCTGATTTTGTTTCTTATATTACATGTTTGGCAACAACTTTAAGTTCGAAATTTTTATAAGCTTCTTTAAAAATTAAGAAAATGGTTATTTTTAAAATAAGGTAATCTAAACCCATACACGATCTGACAAATCAAATAATTTGTTGATTTGGTATCGCTTAATTAAGTGAATTTAATTTTTACACAATAGTAAAATTTTACAAGATCATCCAATAATATATTGCCCTATGATTTTATGAATTTGACAAACTATAAAACTCGTAAAATAACATGCCAACACTTCATTTAACAATAATGTAATATTTATTATAATTTAATTATAATAAATTAAGAATAATTTATAAAAATTTGTTATGTAAATATCAATTTTATTTACTCCAGCCTTTAGAATTGGTTTATGCATTCAAAAATAATAAATTTTATTAAAAAATTAATTATTTAAATTCAAGATTAAAAGATGAAGTTAATATTTTTCTAAATATTATAGAATTAATATTATGTATATATATATATAACTATTTTTCTCTTAAATTATATTATATATATAAACATCTTACAAATACATTCAATAAAATAATCTTTTTATTTTATTATTTGCTAAACATTTCCCTTAATATATTATACTACTAATAATAGGATCTTACTAACTAGTGTGCTTAGCAAATTAAAAGTAATTTATGTTTGACTGCTTTAAAAATCATGAAAAGGAGTTTATGCAATATATTTTTTAACGAAAATCTTTTACTTTTAGTTTCTTAATCAATTTCCTTTTTGGTTAGCATTTACCGTAATAATATTAGTCTTGCATCTTTCCTTGTCGACGAGTTCGTATCTATGTAGAATTGACTTTTTAGACAAATCAAACGCATCATCTCGTGGGTTTTAAAAATTTCTTGGTGAATTATATGAATGAATTTAAACAGTTTTGCGCTTTTCCAATACCATTCCTAAGTTAAATATACTTTTGCGTGACAAACAGTTTCAGATTTTAAATGTCAGACAGTGAATTGCCTAAAAGAAATAAAAAAATCTTTGTATATATACTATTTTGCGGGAACAAAATTGAACTGTTGTTCAGTAATTTTTTCGTATTATTAATAAATTTAATAACACATTGATCATTCTATTTATTAAAATGATCAAATAATATTTTATTAAATAATCGCACAATTCTTTTTATTTGAAATTTTGAACAATGCAACAAAATAAGTTAAAACCATACAATTCTTTAACTATGGCTAATAGCTACACTAATTAATTAACGAAATGAAAGGCGTTCAATTTGTGGCTTCCCCCTTCCTCCTGTGTAATTCTGCGAATCTCAAAGGGTGAGAGGATAAGAAATCAAGCAAGAATCTTGTGTATATAGTAATGCCTAGTTATTTTTCCACGGTCCTCTCCTACAAAGCATTCCATAAACTTAAAGACATGCCCAAATTCGGCTTTTGAATGCACCCAACATATTATGATTAAGATGATAACCTCAATGCCACCATTAAAAAAAGTATTAACTTCAGCTCTTCAAATAAAATTTAGGTAATTAAAACTAATATATATTTAATTTATCTATCCTCTACAATATATATATAATACTCCCAACTCATTTTCTATACTTTCTCTATTCATTCATGATGCCTATTTCTTAATTCTTATGTCACAATCTTAAGGAAGTATTTTTATTAAAAAATATAAAATTTAATACAATAATACTATTAAATATTATTTTTTAATAAAAATAATGCTTTATTATATATTAATTTTTTATTACGTTAAATGTTAGTCAAAATTAATTGTTAGTCAACATTGATGGCTCAATTTTTTCGCTTGATAGGCACCGTCCATGATTTGTCAAATTGCTACAGTCAACATTGAAAAAATAACGAGTCACTGTAGCAGTTTTTTGCCTATAAAAGGCAATGAATTACGAAAGGTCGAGATACGAAAATCGATCATTCACTGATCAGAAGAAGAAATTTGAGAGTGTTATTTTGTAGCTCTTATTCCATTCTGAGAGAGTATTTATTGAGAGAAAAAAATAGAGTGATTTATTACTCTTTGTCCTCATAATTTTAGAAAACTTTTTGTACTCTTCTTTTTACATAGTGCAATCATTTTACTCGTCGTTGTCCGTGAATTTTTTCTTCGATTTGGAGTTTTTCCCACATTAAAATTTTGTCTCCATTATTCTCTTACTTCTCTTTATTTCTAATTAAATTCGATCCAGTCTTCCGCATTGAGTTAATACTCCCAACATTAAATATTATAGATCATGTATAATGTTACACAAATTAAAAATAGAATAACAACATAAAAGCCAATGATAAGGTATGGATATGGCAACCAAAAAGGGGGAAGGAAATTTGTTAAGAGTATGCAACAAGATGCCGATCCCCACATTTGTTATATATTTTACTCCCTTTGCGCCATTCATTTTACCTTATCATCATGGCGTAGACATTAGACATTCCAAAAATATAGATAGAAGGTAAATAGAAGTGTTAAAAGTATTAAACTATAACATTCATATTTCATAATCAATCACAACAAAAGGTACAAAAAAGAAAGGACAGGTCGAATATACACATACGTCACCCCCTCAGTTCTAAAATCTGGGGGGGGCAACGACCCAACACGTGGCGCGCAACGCGCCCATCTCCGGTAATCAAAAGTAATCAAACGCCGTCGCCTGTTGCCTACTGTTATTTCTGTTCCCGTTATCGTTATCGTTAACGTTCGACAACGGCGTCGTTTTGTTCCTTTTCAGGGACGGAACCTCCGGAGGCGTCACCATCCGAATGAGCGCCAAGTTAAGCCCTGCGAAGAAGGGGTGCTTCTTGACGTCCGCAGCGCCTCGCTTCGACCCGAGCCTGCGGTTCGGGTCCTTGATAAGCAACCCGGAGATGAGGTCTCGCGCGTGCATGTCAAGCGTGCTAGCGGGCGTGGCAGTAGGAAAGGCGAGTGGCTTCTTTATGATGTTGCGCAGCGTAGACTCGTTGGATGGAGCAGCGAAGGGCGTGCGACCGTACACCATCTCGTAGATGAATATCCCGAACGACCACCAGTCCACGGCGTTGCCGTGTGAGTTCCCAGAGGCAACCTCCGGTGACACGTACTCGTGCGTCCCCACGAAAGAACATGACCGTGCCCCCACAGGTTCAGCCACAAAGAGCCGGTTCGATTGAAGAGTCTGCACTTTCCTGGAGCGGAACACGCGGTTCGAGAGACAAGAGAAAGGTGTAGACTGCTGGCGAGTGTAGGGTAGCACGTGTGGGAATGCAGGATCTGGCGAGTAATCGTGCGATTCAACGGCTGGGATTGCATGGGAGCATAGAGAGAGATCGAAATCAGAGAGCATGATGTGACCGTCGGATCTGACCAACACGTTTTCTGGCTTGAGATCCCTGTAGATGATTCCAAGCATGTGCAGGTACTCCAACGCAACCAGAACTTCAGCCGCGTAAAACCTACATGTAACAAGAAGAAATTATTTTTATTATGATTATTATTAACAAACACTGAAGCTAATTTTAAAATAAAAAAAATAAAATGAAAGAGACCTGGCAGAGGAGAGAGAGAAGCGGTTGTTAGGGTGTTTGTGTCGGAGAGAGTGCAAATCGCCACCGGAACAAAACTCCATGACAATGCAAGAAAAATGAGAAGCTTCGAACTCGGCGTAGAGTGTAGGGAGAAAAGGGTGGTCCAGCATCTTCAGAATCTTTCTCTCCATTTCTGCTCGCTCAGATTTTTTCTTCAGAGCCACGGCTTCCTTGTCGACCACCTTCATGGCGTAAAAGCAAGCGGGGTCGTCGTCGAAGTCGTCGACGGCGGAGTCGCGGAGGCGGCAGAGGTAGACTGTGCCGATGTCGCCGGCACCGATGCGGCGGAGGAGGTGGAAGTCGCGGAAGGTGAGGCCGGCCTTGCGGCGGAAGGTGGCGGAGCGGATGGCGGAGTAGGCGAAGTCGGAGGAGCGGTGGGGCTTGATGGAGAGGCTCTCCGGCGAAGAGGAGGAAGGGAGGAGGTCGAAGGAGAGACGGCTGAAGCTGGTGCTGCAAATGCTTTCGCTGCTCATTGAGGTGGAATTCACGGTCTCCGAGCTCATTCCAGAGTGACGCCCACTCATCGTCGAACGAAATGGGTCATGGAAATTACAAAGAAGAATGGTATGACAGAGAGCGTACAGTGGAGAGAGCAGTGCTTTGAATGCGTAGAGAGAGAAATGTTTGCAGAACAATGAGCGGTGGTTGTGTGGTATTTATGCTGAGGTAAGAGGTAAAATGGGTTTAACCTTTCCGACTCAGTTGGCACGTGTGCGGGGAGGGATTCTCACGTGGCAGATGTGGCTTTGGATTTGGAACTGAAGGAGGGTTCATTAGTAGGGGCTGGGCGTGCGCTACAGGTCTTGTTATTGTTAACCTTTCTTTTCTTTTTTCTCAATATTTTTGTTTTGTGATTGGAATGACAGAAAGGGAGAGGGAGGTGGAAGAGTCGTTAGGCTCAGGGGTCAACCATGTTTCTGTCTGACCAAAAACAAAGTATCGGGTCCTATTCAACCCTGCCTTATTCTTTTACCCTTCATAAATATACCTGTCAGCATAAACATTTTTGTTTTTTTCACCGCACCATTGGAAATTAGTTAAAATTTTTTTATTAATCTCAATTTTAATTTTAAGTTTTAAGTTTTTTAAAATATATTTATTCTATTAAAATTATAAAAAATATTAATCATTTAAATGGATTGAGATTAATTTTTTATTAAACTATTCTAACTAAACATATAAAAATGTAATTTCTATATTATACTTTATTTTGTGTTTTTCTACGGTATTTTTTATTGAACATACGTGTCGTCGACAAATAGTAACCAAGGCTACACCAAAGTTATAAGCATTGAATATATGCCGACATTTATACAAGTTGACGATGAATTGGAACCATAATTAAATAGCTAGTGAGTCAATCCCTTTCTACAATGAACGGGTACAGATACCTGATTCTTTTTGGACCTGGCAACACACTTCTTTTACACGTAACTCAGGAAAAGGTTTACCTTTTTTCTTATCATCTGTACCAAAAACATAGCTAGTGTTGAAAGAAAAGAAAATTCCCATCGCTTAGAATTTAAAAAAATAAATATATTGAACTCTCTGACTTAGAAGTGGTTTTGAATTTGATGCAAAAATACGTTATGACTCGAGTCATACCCCACTAGAACTAGAACTGACCTCATTCTTCAAGTTCAATCGAATTCACGTTCAAGTAAAGTAAATTTAGTACTACACATCATATCTGTTGGTAGTCGGTACACGTCTCGTATAAGCATATACTATTAAAAACAATATAAAATAAACGTAATAATAAAACAAATATTTATTTATCAGACATCACACTTCAATTGATTAGAACCTGTTTGGGCCATTTATCTCACGTACAGTGCATGGGTCTTTATTCCTCAATGGGAGGAATTTTAGCAATAAAAAAAAGAAACATAAATGGAAAGACAGAAAACAAAAACAGGAATAGGAAGGTGTAATAATTTGAAGGACAAGAGCCACAATCAAGTGTGTGGAATCAAGATAGCTGATGGCCGTCCACAGAGAGAGTCATATCAAATGAAAAGAGAGAGGCGATGAGTGATGAATGACAATGTAATGCCTGTAGATGCAGAGACATAGTGAGTGATAATGTTCAACCAAATATGCACATCTATAGATTCTAATGCTTGAGCAAAGTTTTGGCCATGACTTCACTGTTAGAGCAAATTGTGGGGCGTGTTTGGACGCAAAGGACGAACCATTAAAACATTGTCAATAGCCGTAGGACCAATCACTGGTACGGCATGGGCCCCAACGTAAGTGCTCTCCCGAGCTTTCACAATTCACACTTTTAACCCTTTTCAAGCTACTCCCTCTGCCTCTGCATGGGAATCTTCTTGTGCCACATTTTTCTCTGTAAGCCTTCTTTGCCCAACCAAATTTCTCGGTTTCCACATGTTTTTTAACTTGTGCAAGCCTCGCCTAATGTACCTATTCAAGCTTTAAAGTAAAGTAAAAACTAATATGCATGTCAACATTGCTCCTTTATTTCAAAACTTTGGTCGATAAAAATGTATGCATGTATAGAAAACTTTGTCTAGTTATTATTATTAGGTCTAGTACTCTCCTAAATTATTCAAATTATTTTAGGAAGAAAGGAGAAAGTATCAAAACCCAATTTCCTCATGTTTTCTAGCTACTTGTACTCCTTGTTAAGTTTTGTTGGGTGTCCTATTCTTGTTATTGTAAATTATTATAGGCGCTTTTAGTGTTTTTTTTTAATCAAGATTTGAGTTTTATTGTATAGATTTCAAAGGTAAAATAATAAAAATATTTAAGGAGGGAAAAAGAAAACATCAAAACTCAGTTTTTTCATGTTTTCTACTTGTACTCCTGGTTAAGTTTTGCTGCGTGCCCGTTCATTTTACAGTAGAACTCATTATTCCCTGCGTCCTAGTTAGGTAAAAGAAGAAAAAAAAATTAATTACAGTAATATGTTGAAGAAAAAAAATACAGTAATATAAATAATTTTAGTATTATTTTTCAATCAAGTTAGAGTTTTACTTCAGCTTAGAAATCTTATTGTGTAGCATTTATGGTGCCATACATAAATTTTGTCCAAAATTTTAAAGAATTAATATTTTTTGGGTTATTATTTGATGTATTTAAATTCATAAAAAAATGGTATAATATTCAAGGATGATCAATTGGGTTTAGCTAGATTAATATGCCTTATTAGCATATCACTTATCTTCAAAAGTAAAGAGGTCTTTTCTGTTTTTCCAATGATGAATTAATCTATGAAGCGTTATTGCATAAATTGACGATGGTAAAATTTCTACAGTAAAAGGTTAAATATTTTTTTTTGTACTCGTTTAGTAAAATATTCTTTATTTGTTGATTAAAAAAAGTTATTGACGTCGATGTCCTCAATGATTATCGTAGAGTTTGCGATCGTGTGGAATAGTTAACCTAAATATGCCTATTAGGCCACTGTTCAGTAAAAAACAGTTGTGGATGAAAAGTGTTTCATCGTAAAACAGCAACAGAAATTCTAGTAAAAAACGGTTGTACCATAATTTTTGGTCCCATTGCCTCTTTCTTTTCAGCATGACAAGGAATAGACATTTCAAGGGTTTTATATGGCATTAAATAAGTAAAATTATTTTGAAAGTTCCCTGTTTCTTCCATCTTTTTGCTTTAATCGTATTAATTAATTAGTTATTAATGGTTAGCAATCATTTTAACAGTAATGATATAGTATTTTCTTTATATGATCTTACTAATATTCCTAATACTTTATTAAGTAAAAATGTAAAAGTATTTAATGTCTTAAAAAAATAAAATGTATTTAATTTTTTATTTAATAAATGAGAAAATTTATAAGAGGATTTAGAATTGTTATAAAAAGAATATACGAGCTAGCTATATATATTCATGATACGTCACCATTGGCAATGTTGTGGTGGCTGAAGGTGTTTCATGAAAGATTAGACAAATGCTGAAAAAGAAAAAGTTATTTAATAATTTCGTGGTCCTATTTTCTTTATCCTTTATTCTATTTTTGGGATGATGCAAACTGATAAGTTACAAGTTACACATTCTAAGAAGTACTTGTGAATTGTCGTAGGTTCTATATCTCGTAGCATTGTAGCAAAATATTTATATAAAAGAGATTGGATACTACCCCAATGTTCAGGATTAATTTAACTGAAAGTACACTTTTCTAATTTATTAGCAAGGATAGAGTTTCCCAATTAGCTGGCTATAGTTAATAGAAAAAGAAACATTGATATGAACATATTAGGATACTGACCAAAACCTATTTTGATAACCATTTTTTTAAGGATCATTCTACTTCCAAAACATTTTTTTATCATATAAATGAGAGATATAAGAAAATTGTAAAAATTTTCGCAAAAACAATATTATATTTATCTTAATTTGATGTTTATAATGTGTGCTCTTGACGCGTTAAAAAAAACTAAAGGAAAACTTTTACCAAGAAAAAAAAATATTTGATTTATACAAAATACAAAAGTTATTCAATGCATTTTTTTAAGTAATTATAGATATTTTAAGAGTATTTATTAACGTTCCTTGTTATTTAACATATTTTTTTCTTCTTAATTTGTCTTCATTAATTACCTTTAATTAAAGGGGTATATTATATTCATAGTCCACTGACACTCTGGTATCTTAAATATTCATATTTTAGTTAATACCACGAGTTATTTGAATCGATACAAGATTATTTACAATAGCACTAAAATGAATTAGCTCTCTTAGCAAAAAATTATTGTCGTATATAAGATTTGAACTTAAAATATAACTTAAGATCATCTTCACTCGCTGAAGGATCCAGAAAGAAAGAGAAAGATGCATATATTTTACAAGCTTCACAAAATTATGGAAGTCGCAAAATGGATATATCTTTCTATCTCATGATACCTCTCTAAGAACATATTTTTTTCTTGAACCAATGAGTAATTGACAAATGAATTTCTAATTAATGGTAATACTAATCAGTATTACTTATACTATTAATCATCATTAATTATTTAATGTAAAATAAGGTTCAATTATTTTATTTTATATATAATTATAATTTATATTTGTTAATTATTTACTATTAAATGCATTAAGCTTAGCCAAAAGTGTAAGGAATAAAAAATTAACTAAAAGATAAAAAAAAACATTATTTTAAAGTTAATATAAACATGTAATAAGTATAACGTTAATGATACACGCGGGTTCAATTAACTAAATTCATTGAAATATAAAGTTTGAATACTAAATTTTATATTTGAATCAATTCTAAATTGTTTTAAAGATCAAATTATTACTTTTAATTAAATTAACTATTTAGTTGCTTATGTAATGCATTTATTTATTATATACATATTTGTTTATATATATATATATATATATATATTTAGAATAATTTTTTAAAAAAATAATTTAACCACAAATAACACGTATTAAAATTATAAGAATTTAATTTAACTAAAACAAGTTTGAAATATACATTATTTTAAAATGATAGAGATAATGTATTATATATTATAAATTTTATATAAATAAAGATATTATAAAAATTGAAAGTTTATATAACATAATAAAAAAATATTATAAATATAAATATAGAGATTGATG